AAATAGACTTTAAATACCTGTAGAAAGCTCATCCATTAAATGTATTTTTCGTTAATATTCAAATATCTCAATTGGGCTTTTAGTGGGATTACTTGTCAAACTACCGAAAACCAAGAATACTGTTCAGGAAGGGCAATGTCTTGAGACATCTGTGGTAGTCACAACTGGTGGTGGTTGCTACTGACACCTAATGGGTAGAAGCTGCGGATGCTGTTAAACAACCTGCAGTAACACAGGACAGCCGACAACTAAGAATTATCCAATCCAAAATGTCAATAGTGCAGAGGCTGAAAAACCATGGCTGAGAATATAATACCATGTCATATAGACAGTATTTGTTACAGAATTTCAACATTACCCAACTATAACATTCTTACCTTTGCATCTCATCTTGTGTAAGATTCTTTCTCATTTCTCTAGAAAGATGATAAAGACGATGGAGTGTAGATGCATGAAAAAGAGCATTTCCAGATTTCCAAAATACAGTTGAGACTTTGTTATAGTAATTTGCCATCAATTGAGGTTTAGGTGGTTTTTTAGACAAGGAGAATAGCCCATGAATATCTTCCACAGCTTTGAACGCTTCCTAAAATTAGTAGTATAAATTAAAGTCACTGCATTCTATAACATAAAAAAAAAAATCTAATTCAAATTTCTATAAAATCTACAACATGGAAAACATAAAAATAGCAAATAAAATACCTTGATATGTGGTTCTCTTTATTCATGTATAATTTAATATCTCATATATTTTAGAAAACTGCCATAATTACAAAAACACGAACTCCTTAAACTCTTTTAATTTCTTTAGGAAATACTGGAAAGTAGACAGAGCAGACTAAAGAAAATATTTGCATATTATCCCATCACTCGGGGCAATAAGAAAAAAATCTAGAAGGATATACAACAAGTTATTTCTCAGTGATAAGATAATGGATGAATATTTCTCTTAACTTATACATTTTGTTCTATCATGAGCATGTTTACTTATCTTCTACTGGTAGTATTTTAAGATGGGTGTCCCTACAGAAAAGGAAACATGGGGAAGAACAAGACATGGAATCAGTTTCACTTGGCTCAAAGACTCCCAATTTTTAGTTTCTTCCTTATAATTTCAATAAAATATTGTCCATCAAATATATAAAAGACTTCAAAGGCACATGACTACACAATTGTATGGAATGTCTTTGTAGAATTCTTAGAGAAGGGCCAGGTAGAGGACTAGCTTCCCACCACCACCGAGATCTCCAATGCACGACAGTCAGCTAAAGCCGCACTAAGAAATCTCAAAATAGCCTACAGCAGCACTTCTGCAACTATCAGTAGTAAAGGATTCGTTTTTGTTTTTGTTTTTTTTAATTTCTAACCTCTTACCAAAGAATATAAAATACAAAATTACCACAAAAATGAAACAAAAAGCTCAATTTTTATCATAGTAAACACACAAAAAATTTACAATAAAATTCCTAAGAAACTCTGCATATGCTTTTCTCCTCTATACTTATTTCATCACAGACCAGACAGTTCACAAATGACACCAGTCATGAAACCACATTTGAGCAGTACTGGCAACGTACTGTTTTATATGCTGAGAAACTGTGTCTGAAAGATACTACATGGTTTGGTCCAGAATTCATGGAAGCCAACTAGAACGAAAATATTCTGAGATTTCTTGTTGAGAACTTTTCACAGACCATCAGGCAATTTTAATTTCTTACCTTATCTACTGAAATTAACCAACGCATACCAAGATGAAGCTATTCATTAAGGAAAGTAACACACACTATTATTTCTAGAAAGAAAAGCTAATAGTTCCAACATACCTGCCACAATTCCATGCTGATGGCACTGTCCAACTGAACAAGTCTGGTTTCCAAATGCATGGACTGGCTCTCTGGATTATTAAGATTGATTGCCGTACTTTGGTTATGGTGGCGCTGAATCTGCGATAAGTGCATTCTCAAATTGTCACACAGTTTACGGAATTCAGCCTTACGCGTGTATTGGAGGCAGAATTTGAAAGCTATAAGCATAATTGTAAAATATATTAGGTATCTTCCACTATCTACTTAAATATTTGAATAGGTTTTATTTCACACGCTAAAATCAGTTATTTTAATAGGATTCCCCAAACTCATCATTGGTCTTTGTGATGAACTGACAATCAACTTATTTCATCCAGGCTGCCTTTTTGAGTGAACCCTAACAAAAGCAAAGACATAATCATCAGTCCTCGCCTAGAACTAAAACATGGTTCTGGCAGAGTTTACAAATAGGAAACTACAATTTAGATCTAAGAGTCAACTTTCAAAGACCCATCACTTTAAATCCTAAGAGTAAAATTTTCTAGTCTGAATTATTATGAACTTTGATATCTAACTTACACAGAAAGCAACAAGTTTCCATGCTAATTAAAACTATCTAATACAAATTGAGGGCTTATGGTAACCTAATTTCAACAGACTATATAGATACATGTATGAACTACTTTTTCTGTCATTTAAATGTACACATTCATTTTTTACTGTCACATATGTAATATCAGAATATTTTTTAGATTTCCTTTGCCCTTAAAAATAGTATGTCTAGGGCCAGACGCAGTGGCTCACGCCTGTAATCCCAGCACTTCGGGAGGCCGAGGCAGGCAGATCACCTGAAGTCAGGAGTTCAAGACCAGCCTGGTCAACATGGAGAAACCCCATCTCCACTAAAAATACAAAATTAGCCGGGCGTGGTGATACACGCCTGTACTCCCAGCTACTCGGGAGGCTGAAGCAGGAGAATCGCTTGAACCCGGAGGCGGAGGTGGCAGTGAGCCGAGATCATGCCATTGCGCTCCAGCCTGGGCAACAAGAGCGAAACTCCGTCTCAAAAAAAAAAAAGAAGAAGAAGAAATAGTATGCCTAGGCTGGGCGCTGTGGCTCATGACTGTAACCACAGCACTTTGAGAGGCCGAGACGGGCGGATCACGAAGTCAAGAAATCAGGACCATCCTGGCCAACACGGTGAAACCCCGTCTCTACTAAAAATACAAGAATTGGCCGGGCGCGGTGGCTCACGCCTGTAATCCCAGCACTTTGGGAGGCCGAGGCGGGTGGATCACGAGGTCAAGAGATCGAGACCATCCTGGTCAACATGCTGAAACCCCGCCTCTACTAAAACTACAAAACATTAGCTGGGCATGGTGGCACGTGCCTGTAATCCCAGCTACTCAGGAGGCTGAGGCAGGAGAACTGGCTGAACCCAGGAGGCGGAGGTTGCGGTGAGCCAAGATCGCGCCATTGTACTCCAGCCTGGGTAACAA